TTTTTCGAGTAATCTTCTGCTCTCTCCTAAGGTATGATGACTCGCGTGCTAAACAAGCGCGTGACGCTCAAGAGCTTTCTCGTGCTAACCTTCAGCGTTATCTTCACTACTACAACCGTTTTATGAACCATCAGCAAAGTTTAAAATTGGAAAATAAGGTCGGTTTTAATTTGGATAGTTTTGTTTAGCTATAGCGATAACGTTGGCGGCAGTTATGCTTCCTCCTTCTTCTCTGGTTTCTTCTATCAGTGATGTTGAAACAGCCATCTAGGTGTCGTCGATGTTTGGTCTTTAATGTTATCACCCAAAAACGTGTGCAAAGACGATAAGAATTCCATGGGGAATTTTCTCAAAATTATCTCAGGGATGGAGTAAAATTACATTGTGATTAGTAAATTGAAATCACTCGTATAAGACCACGATAACAAGGATGCATTTTCTATGGTGAGTGCTTCTCAGAAGTAGTACGTCCTCATCCCGCCTTTGTTTCATGTCCACTTAATCAGTGCTCCCGCCGAGGAGGTCGACTTGGAGCGATCCAGCTGCATCATCCTGAGGGGATTTGTGTTGCATAAATCTTGGCCTCGATATTCTCAAACAATTAGCATACTGTCTCAAAGTCAATATCTAAAAGATCGGCTGATCACCAAAAGCATGGCCATCTCGGACCATCGAGCATTCATAGTAGTGGAGGTTTTATGAATTTTAGCGCTTTTTCTGTATAAACCTCTGGATGCTTTTGCATCATTGCGCTTCAAATGGACAGGCCAATTGGCCAATTTTATGACAAAAAGACGCTGCATTACATTGCTAAGAAGATGACTTGAGTCGCTCAGTTCATTACAGGGTTGTCCTGGATAAAGAGAGCGTTGACTTAATTGTTGGCTGGCTCTGGAATAGAATGTGTGTGCGAGAGGCGCTCATGCATTGTCTACTCTAATGCTTTTAGTGATTTGATTCGAGGCCGAATGAATTCTCGAATTATTAATTGGCGTGGACATCGGTGGCTTCTTCATACTTTCCATTTTCTGTTAATTTACCACTGAATTAAAATTAAACATTCAAAAAATCCGGCGGTGAAATCCCCACAATTTATGTGGCACTAATAACAACGAAATAATCGTCACCTTTTTTGCAATATTGATGTTAAACGCTCTGCTAATATGTTCTAATGTTTGTATCGTTTAGCTGTACGCTACCGTAAAAGGGAAAATGGAGCAAATGCAGCTGCAGTCGATGTCTTGGATCGAGGTTTGTTACTATCTTTCGACTTGATTAATTATGTATCCATCGCATAAATTCAGGTACAATTTCTGAGAAAGGCTGTAGACGTTCTGTCGGAGTGTCGCCGAACATTGATGTACACTTACGCATTCGCATACTATCTTAAGAGAGATAATAACGCCGAGATTTTCGAAGGAAATCAAAGGGTAATTCTTTATCATCTGTATTCTTAGTCATTTGTCTGATGAGTGCAAGATGAATTGTTTCTCTTTTGATTTCAGGATCTTGAAATGGCTACAGAACAGCTCTCACAATTCCTTGAACGAGATCTGGAGAACGAGAATCTTGTTACACTGAAGCAAAAGGTAATTCGTAGGATTTGCTATATTTCCATTAAAGATATTCAAAGTAGAAAAGTTACTTTGACGGAATAGCTCAAGCTGTTCGAATACTTTATTTTTCAGGTACAAGACAACTATCGCTATGTCGATCATCGCCGTCTAGTGTTGCTAAAACATTGTCAAGAGGGTACAGAAAGAGACATTTGGCAGTATACTCAGTGACTGTACTACTGCGAAACTTTTACCGGAGATCTGTTGGTATCCCCTGAGAAATCTGAGACGCTCGATTTACTTTTTAACTCATTGTCCAGGTTTCATGCCCGGTTTTCCTATTTCGTCTTCCAATTTTAGTGTTGTTTCAGTTATTGTACATCGTTCGGGTCAAACCTTTTTTCCCCAAAACGTTCTGTCTTAGGCATTGCTGGGCAGAGCATCTTTCATCTCAGATGCTAGTTGCTTTATATCATTTCTGCCCATCCTTCTGTTGTCTTGACGATATAATTTTCTTTACGGTTTGCATATTCCGCACTTTTCCCAGTTTTTGGCGCGGATACATACGCTATTCACATCGCTTTTTTAGTGATTGCTGGTCAATTGATTAATCACGTTCTTTCTTCGTTTTTTCATACTTAGGATCTTCTGCTTCTGTTACGTATTAGTGAGCTGATTTGTAAATAATGTTAAAAATCACCTCTTCACTGATCCCCAAGGGTTAATTACTTTAATATTTCCATTGGAAGTTGCCTTATATCTCTTGAAGATTGATGTATAGATGAAAAGTTTAAATTATGTTTTTCCACGTAGAATATTCTGAATAAAACTTTGATAATTTTCTTAGAAGACTAAAAAAGTGTGTCGAAGTCATTCTCTATTTCTGCTGACAGCATCTCACGGTAAGGTCACTGTAAGAGTCGATTGCCTTCACTGAAGTTTCGTCCTGTTTCCGCTACTCACACCCGTCAAAGTCAGTCTTGAATGACTTTTCTATCTTATTTTCTAACCTTGTAACTTGAAGTGATGGCGCTCTGCCGTTTTTGTTTAATCGACTGTTTTCCACCCTGAGGTCAATGGTTGTGATAAGAAAGTTAATAGGTGGAAGTTCTCGTTGACAAGACCAGTAATCATGTCGCATGACTCCGACGGTGTCAGAGTTGTGGATTGTCCCACTATGAACACGTTCGATAAGCAAATATTTAGGGGAACATCACTGAAAGAAGTAAAGAAGGGAGCAGAAAAGAGAGTTGATGAATGAGGTCAAAACGCATGGCAATGTAAACTGGTGCTTATCGGGGAACGTAGTAGACAGGCAGTTGGATTGGACAGAGTCACTGGCCCCACTGCAATTTTGGATTTTCACTGGCTCATCACAGTTATCTTCAAACAAAATGGTCGGAAATGTTTCTGAATAGCTGTCTGTCGATATCCCACCCTTGATATTGTCATCAACAGGTTGAGGGAAGGCACAGGTGCATCTCTAAGGGCATATACTGAATAACTGGATGTAATATGAGATAAAAAATCAGCTTGTGATAGAATTATTCGTGACGTACCGATGCGTTTCCCGTCGGGGCGCTTAGAAGCGAGGCATCGGCTCGAATATAAAGATAAGGAAAGTTCGCAGATCTCGTCTTCACTTTGCTTAAATAAAGTATTTTGATGCATAGCTGTATATCTTTTGAATCTTTTCCCATCAAAAGTATGTCCGTGTTGGGTGGTAATTCTCACTCCTCAAATTTGCTGCTCCATTTTTATGCCGCTTAATTCAATCTTCTCGATCGTTCACCGAATGTCGTCTATCTCGAAAGTAATTGGGTCAAATTCTGAATCTCCCTGAGACGAGATTGCTACGGTCAGGTTAGCTGCATCACCCGCTGACACGGTCCGAAGATGTCGCTCGCAGAGGAGCTTATGGCCGACTTTGAAGAAGATGATGCAGATGAACTGGAACAGGCCATGGAGGTTTGTGTTACACTGCTGGCCAAAGACGTGGGATAGCTTTGAAAGGTTTTCTGATTTCTCTAAAAATTTTAGGCTATAAAAGCCGAGGACGACATCGAAGAAGCAACTGAAGTCGTACCTGGAAAAAGCGACTATAACTCTGTTTATGATGTTGCCAAAATGACATTAACTGACGAGTTCGTCTGAAGTTTTCTTCTATCGGAGACAGGTTGACCATCCCTTTGAAATCACAATTGTTTTCAATTGATTGTTTCAGATACAAAGAACTAATGGCAACTCTTCATGCTGAATTAGAACGAACGGATGAAGTCCATGTCACTGCTCCTCTCGAGTCCGATCCACAATACAAGTTGATCGTGAAGCTCTCACATGTTGGTATTTCTTTGTTTACTTATTTACTCATTTATTTGTTACCCTCAAAGGCGCGTGACAGTCGATATTAGGTTAACGAGTGAGCAGATATAATTCAAGGGGCGAAAATATTGAAAAGGGAGGAAGGATATAATCGGTTGTTAAAAATTGATTGCCCCTCTGAGGGCTGTGGCACAATCAACGAACAGTATGACGAGATATACCGTAAACAAACAAGTGAATCTGAAATTGTACAGAACACTAACAGGAAGCGTAAGCAAGCCTTTGGAGAAGTGGATTTCCGTATCAACTCAGAACAGAGTCATTGGAAAAGGAAAGAGCAAGGGCAGTACAAACTAGCGGGACTAGTGAGTTACAAGAGAAGTGATAAGGTGACCCGAAAGCCTTCATACGTCGTATGGGAAAACGGACTACTTTTGATTGCTCTGAATACGTGTTATGCAGTAGGTCACTGAAGCGAATAATACCTGCATCGGTCGGCAATTACGGCAGTCGCCAGAAATGCGGTGAAGGGACTTGCAGTGACTTCGAAACGCAGTTCAACAGATATCACGTCGTGGGATCTGCAAGCTAAGATACATCCGGAAAGCCCACCGACATTGAGAACAGAAGGGGGCAGCATCGATACTACTGTACAACCATAATACGACCCCTGAACTCCATTCTAGGCAACGGGAACCAGCAAGGATATTCAAGGAGGAAAATGCGATCTAAAAAGCAGTTTAACATCATCTCACGATGTATCCATTGGGCCATATGCCATGAGGAGACTACAGTCAACAGAAAACGTGTTACGAGAGCCAACGATTCCAAATGGTCTTTCTTCAGTAGTTCTCGGCCGTCGTTCGCATCCACAATGTTCCGTATTATACGCGCGTTCGGTGTTCCGTCATAACTTTTGGAAGTGAATTGCTCTTTGGATGAAAAATGACACCAATACTTTTATGAGAAAACTGAAACACCAAAATAGTAAATGATTTTATGGTTATCAGGATTTCAAAGCGGCATTACGTTCCCCGTTATCCGCACATTAATTAACTTCATAGGTCTTTTATTTCAGTCAACTCAGAAGTTTGATATCTGTGATCGCGTTACAAATGAGGCTTTTGCTTGTAATTCATTTCTCACATCCTCCGTTTATTCTTGGTCCAGCATCGGCTTATATTTCGGTTTGCAAAAGACAATACGGGGACGTATCATAGCTTTCAGCTTGCTGCCGATCTTGATGGTGAGATCAACGTGATTCATAAGTTTGTGCGTGACAAATACGAGAAACGCTTCCCCGAGTTGGAGACGCTGGTGCCGAATCCGCTGGAATACTTGGCTGCTGTTAAGCTTCTTGGGAACGAAATTAATACAAAAGGACAAAACAAGGTAGCCCATTCTCACTTCTCTTGAGCATTTACTTTGGATGGTTGATAAGCTTTTCTTCTGCATCGAGGGTGACTTACCTGTTTTTGCTCCTAATTTTAGGAGCTGCTAGGACAAATTCTCGCTCCAGCAACTTGTATTGTGGTCTCCGTCACCGCGTCAACCACGCAAGGCAAGTCGTTGGAACCTGACGAACTGAGCGTTGTGAGAGAAGCCTGTGATTTGGCAGAGAAATTGCATACGGTATAATTTTTATAAAATATTGCCTTTAACGAACTTAGACAGCGCTCTTTTATAGGATAGGATTTCAATGTATCGTCTGGTCGAACTTCGGATGGCCTTGATCGCCCCTAATCTCGTGCACTTGCTTGGGGCTGCAACTACTGCTTTGTTGGTTCGTTTTTGGTCAATGCTTGTCTTTAACCTTATTACTAAAGGCGATGCATTGTATAAGAAATGTATTTGACAGAAGATTCCTCTGTTCAGCCTGCTTAGCCAGGTTTCCCGGTGCAATGTTGTGCGAAGCGTAAGAGCAACATTGTTAAAGTAAAATGACGCCCTACAAAAGCTCCATTATAGTAGGATCTGCAACAGCTTTTCCTTCGGTCCATGTTCTGTTTAGCTAGTTAAAAGTGGCATGTTATGCGAAAGATGTTTTCGTTTCTACCTTTTGCACATCACTTTCACACTGCCGTATGTTCGGTGTACCAAATTTTGAATTAAATCAGTCTAATAGGCAGTGTAGTTCACTTATTCCTTTCTGTCTGATGTGTGCCTTTGTGTTTGAAAGCGATATTCCATGATTCGTTAAGGTATCGCAAGCTGGAGGACTAGCACCTTTATCACGCATGCCAGCGTGCAATATTCAAGTTTTGGGAAGGCAGAGAAAATCGCTGGCTGGGTTTTCATCCACCTCCGCCCTACCTCATGCAGGATTCGTATATTTTCATCCACTTGTTCAGTCAATGCCTCCAGATTTGAAGTCGTCAGTATTAACTTTTTATCAATTTTCTTTGCCAATCTCAATAAAAATCCTTTGAAGGAAAGCTGCCAAGATCCTAGCCGCGAAGTGCACTTTGGCAGCTCGGGTCGATTCACTTCATGAGTCTCCAAATGGTGCCATTGGGGTTCACCTCCTTGAGCAGGTTTGTGGATTCGATGTTCAAAACAGATTTAATATGACCGTCGGTATTTTTTTAACTATTACGTTTTTGTAGCAAGTCAGATAACCCAAGCGCCATTTGTAGGTGCGCACTAAATTGGAAAAATTGATGGAACCTCCTCCAGTCAAGGCTAACAAAGCATTGCCCAAACCCTTGGATAAGGCTAGTAAGAAACGAGGAGGTTCGTTTGCTGATATTCATTCATCTAATCAGTATAACAGTGATCCAATGACTTTCCATAGGACGTCGTGTTCGTAAAATGAAGGAAAGAATGGGCATGACCGACCTACGTAAGAGCGCTAATCGTATGAATTTTGGAGAATTGGCAGAAGACGTTTTGCAGGATCATATAGGCTTCGATTTGGGACAGGTTCGTTCATGGCACTTATTGCTCTGAATGGTATTTGGCGTTTTGATTGCTTGTTTAAGAAAACTTATGCTTTTTGATTGCCCCAAGACTTAATATAACGTATTTGAACGCTCATGACCAGTATTTTTTGAAGCATTTGCTCAGTTTTCACTTGAACACGAAGAACAGTTTTGTCAGCATTCGAGCTGGCGTCATTAGAAGGGTGAAAAGAGGAAAGAATTTCCTCGGAAGAGCGCAAAACATGATTATCAAAGTGATTTATATGTGGTCAGAAATATAGTCGACAGAAATCTGCAATTCGTAGCTAAAAGTACACGTAATGAAGTGACTTTTTGTAATATTTAGTGCCCGCTTATTATTTTTACATGCTGTCCTGTTTTCATTGTATTTCGTTTTTCTTATTGTCTCGTTCTAGTCTTGGATTGTTTTGAAAATTGTGATAGCCGACACGGCCATGTGCATAATTTATTGCCTGACTCAGGTGAAGACTGGTAATGTGGCGGGTGGTCGAATTAGAGCTGGCGTCGTAGACAACAAAACTCGTGTGAAGATGTCCCAGAAAATGCAACGTCAAATGGAGCGTCAGCGAGCACAAGGAGGAGTGACAAGCATTCGAAGCAAGGTGAGCTTACAGTTGTTCAGGGGAGTGCAAAGCGATTCGTGATTCGAGGGCGAACAGCTCACTGGCGAGGTTCACCCATGATGTTCTTTGAAAGGGGCAAACAGGCAAGAAATTTGTGATTAGGATGCTACTCAAATAATTGTATTTCTGTTAGGGATAACGTGCAAAGGTATTTTTGCTTTGAACCTCGGTTTCATTTAGACCGCTGGTACGGCATCATCGGTGACCTTCACTCCCGTTCAAGGGCTTGAAATTATTAATCCAACTGCTCTTGAGAAGACCGCATCTTCATCATCAACCTACTTCTCCTCTTCTGCCTCTTTTGTAAAGGTGGAACCGGGAGCCATGAAATAATTCGTGGTGCATTCGCTAGATACTGAATAGATCTCGTTTGGATACTGTCAAAGGGTTACTAGCTGTTGATTAATTATTTTGTTTTTCTGCAAGAATTATATGTTGTTGTATGTTTTTTGGGAATGAACTTTTCGTTTCTTGCAGTTCAGTTAGCAGTAGAACACGACCCGATATTTTATTTTTGAAGAATCAGAAGTAGGAGTGCCTTTCGAATGCTCTGATTATCTCACGTCCTTTCCATCGTGTTAGTTATAATCGGACCAGGCTCGGAAAAGAAACTGTTAAGGTGAAGTAGTTAGTGATCGTCTCCCATCAGGGCCATAACTACGGCATCACATGAAGCATTAGGTTATTTGCCGTTTTTAAGTGACAGGTATATAGTTTGGGTTGAGCAGAGATGACCAAGCGGTGAACCCATTGACGACAATGCAGTCCATATGTGGACTGCACTTTTTCGGCCATGTGGGACTGTGCAGACCAGATGTACACATTTATCTATAATTCCACTTTTTTATAATTTTTCTTCTCAAAGCATTACATCAGGCCTAAACAAAGCCACATACACGGGCGACCGTCCGTTGCGCGTGTCCGTCGAAAGTAGGTCACCCCGCTCACTTCGCGCGCGGCGCACTCCACTGAGGTCTCGGGAGGATATTACAGTACCACCAAGTGTGAGTGGAGCGAACGATTTGCATTTGTCTATGTTATCTTCTCTTTGGCTGACTACCCTAGAGAAAGCGCAAATCGTACGCCCCGCTTACAGCTGCGACGTCTGTCAAGTATCGCGGGCTGACCCGCCGCATGCGGCGGCTGCGGCGTGACCTAGTTTCGACGGACACGCGCAACGAAGCGCACCCCATACAGCGTGGTCCTGAGAAATCGTCTAATTTTGCAATTGTAAAGGTGTTTTTTTGAAGGAGTACATCAGCTCGGTGAATTCCTCGTTCGTTGAATAACTTCAAGAAATGAGATACTTCAAAAAGACAGTCGTCATCAGCATTTTCGCTATTATCGACTGGATGCAAAACTCGTAAAAGTTTTGGTAAACGATTTCTGGTAATGATTGAACTCATAATTGAATGACCATTTGGCTGAAAGCCGGTTCTATGATAAAGATCAATAATCACACAATGTGGGCATTCTTACCAAACCTATTTGAAGGAGCATTTCAAAAACTTATGAAATTCACTTCTCTCTTCCCTCAACTTCTTATGAACTTCAAAAAGTGGTAATGGTGGACCATATAGTCCACATCTGGGCTGCAGTCGCGAGTGAGCGAAAAACGCGCCGGTCCCTCGCGGCGCTTTCCCCGCCAAACGTGATGGTCGTCAATGAGTTAAAGCGTATTGAAGCATGCAACCAATCCTCGATGGTTTCTTGAAATCAGATCAGGGAATTTATCGTTTCAGCTATAGGGGTGAGAGAGTTCTAGTATTACGTTTTTGATTACTATTACGCTGACGTTGCATTCGTACTGACATCACCCATCACCTGTCGTCCCGTTGATCATCGATTTCCTCGAGCGGGCGCCAGTAACGTCTCCATTCGTCCCTGTTACGAGCCAGAGTGGTCCAGTGAATCGTTCTCGCTTCAGGGACGCGAAGCCCAATATTCGTGAACCCTCGTGAAGAAGTCTGACCATCTCGTTGGTGGCCGTCCTGTATTTGGTTTGAAGTCCCGAACGATCCATTCTGTAACCGCCCTGGTTTATCGGTCATCGTTATATCGCATAACCTTGTACCCCTACTGACATCACCTGGGGTACGGGAATATTTTTTCGATCGCACCTAATCAAGCTCGCCTC